GAGTGTTATGTTTTTTTATCCAGTATCAATTTTAAAAACTATCGGTTGATTAATCGTTATCGGCAAGTTCGGTCAGACCTAGTTATCGGTACTGGTAAAATCCACTATGGGTCGACCTCTATTGTGTATGTTTGCCATGTGTCTTTGTCAAGTATTGTCTCCTGTAACCACTGTTTGATCATTTTTTTGAGTGCCACGCCACTCCTTTGTTTTATGTTCGATCATATCTTGAATAAAGCTGCACTTGGGTTTGCCAAGCTTGCCTCCAGTGGACGTTACTTACGCAGGGCAAGATGAAATCACCTGAATTTTCAACATGGGATATTATTTACATGTCTACGACAGGGCACTGCAGATTTATAGCCAAACAAAATCTATATATCAAACCCTAAACAATATTTACTGAGAGCTTGCTTGCTCTGAACTTAAACTTACTCTACACATGCCCTTCCGAAGTCTTCGGATTTAAATGAACTGCTGATGTTGACAAGTTAACGATCAGCCAGCTATTTAGATAATTCGTATTTACTATTTAAAATATATACTATTGTTTGTCTTTCACGGAGGATAAGTTAAAGACAAAAATGGACAATGCGAGGAAACAGTCCAACACATACCTGGATATCCGACTCCAGGGCAGGAATGGTTTCTGAGGAGATTTACGTTTTTAGAGGTGCACAATAAAGACACCCTCAACATCTAACATACTTTACGTTTATTAAAAGAGGATGTTTAATCGAATGTGCAGAGGAATATTTACAGTATTTATTTGTTGCTCTCTCATAATTAAAGTACTCCCATGAACATTTATTTTAAATGTAGTTTAATTTAAAAGAAACACAAGAGAACATATAGTTTTTCCCAAATGTGAAAATTCTGTCATCAGTCACTCAATCAATCAATCAATCCCAATGTTGATCTAAAGGTGTCAAACTCAGAGTTTAGTTCCAACCAGCTCCAACACACACACACACCTGTACCTGTAGTTTCAAATAAGACGAAGGACTTGATTAGCTGGAGCAGCTTTGCGTGAGGTTGAAGCTGAAGTAGAGCCCGAAGCCATTTGTTTTGAGAATAATGGCTGGCTGATGAAGTTATTGGCTGGCTAGCCGGCTCAGCCAAAACCTAAATGGCTGCTGCAGCCGCCAAACTTTTCATAGCGGCAAATGGCTGAAGCAGGTCATTTTGAGAAAACGGGCTTTAAAGATTTATCATCAGCCAATGAGATCGCGCATTCAGTCTTTTTATTTCACGATTGGTTGCTGATAAAAAGGAAATGACCATATTTGGATTCAACAGGATTGTACAGAAGTCAAGAGAGAGCTTCCTAACGGTGCATGTGAAGAGAGGGTGACGGCAGAGATCGCGGAGAAGTATGTTGATTAAGAACGCAAACTTTTGTTGAATTTATGAGAAATCTACAGACGCAAACAGACGAAGTGTAGTAAAATAAAGACCTAAATGTGTATTTCTGACTTTTTTTCACCACAAGTCTGAAAGAAGACATATGTTATTAAAGACAAATATCCAAAGATCTCAAAATTGACCAGTAAAAAAGCCCCGATGTTTTTGCCTGCCGTGTCTCCCCTTAATATAAACAGTACACACACTGTTATCAGTATTATTTTGGACAAAGTTTTGCACATTTCACTTCAATACACTGAAGCATGCGTCGTGAATTAGCAATGTGGAAACGGTGGTTTGTTACTGCAGTAATATCACGTTCAGTGCTATAAGTCTGTGTATCGTAGCAACGAGCACAAGACTGTGCTGTTATGAATCCAGTGGGAAAATAGATCTCGTGTATTGTTTATCCGGTTGTTAAGTCGTGACGTAACCACTCTCCGATAATACTGTTTCCGGGTCCAAAGGCCGGGTCCTCTCTACCTACCTACCGCTTTCGCCCGAGTTTTAACATGTTCCCGTGTTGTTTAAATAGATCGGAGTTAAAAAACAAGTGACATTCAACTGTCATTCTACCGCTTTCCCTGTGACGAGAAAGATAAGAGAAAATGGCTGCAGTTGATAAGGTAAGTTACAAATCTTAAACGAATGAAGAAACTTTGGCGCCAGTGGGTGCTATCCCTTAATCCCTAGTAACACCCACTGGCACTGAAGCGAAAAAAAGCCCTTAAGAAAAGGGTTTATTTAGTCTAGGATCTGGAGTGGACGAGCGGAGCGCTTGGGCCCGGAAGAGGCTAAACGTCACGCGTGACGTCAGACTTAACAACCGAATATATTTCGTGTGTGTATGTCTCTATGTGATAGAATTATTATTTGATGCAAATAATTCTAGCCGGCTCAGCCAAACTTTATCAGATGGCGGCTCAATTTGGCTTATGAAATTATTGGCTGGCGGCGGCTGAAATTCTAAATGGCGGCGCCTGGCGGCGGCTTCGGGGTCTAAGCTGAAGGGGCTGATAGACCCCTGATATAAAACCATGACTTTATTTGCAAAACCCCTCTGCAAACACCCCCTGTTGTGTTTCAATAAAGACAGAATCAATTGAATTTGGAACAACATGAGGGTGAAAAAATGACAGAATTTTAATCGGCAACAATTTTTGTCACGGGTTGGTTAATCAAGGCGAGAAAAGGATCTGTTTGCAACAGTCTAAATAAGCACTAAAACACTGGAGAAACCACAAGAACACCGCAAACCAGTTTAACCAGAGTACAGCAGAGAGAGCGAGTCCCAAAGAAACAAGTACCAGTTCAGCTCTCCCCATTACCAGCCATACAGCGCCATCTAGTGCTGGCATAAAGCAACAGCATTATTAGTGCATAACACAATACACTTTACATTTGGAAAAAGGACATCGCTCATCTTTGAGTAAAAAAAAATGATTCCCTTAGAATACACTATGCATTTTTCGCATTAAAATTAGAGTAAAAAGTAGCCACCATTAAACCTACTCCAAAAGTGCATGAGTTTACACACCTGTCCTAAGCGTAGACAGCATGGTTGCGACTGAAAATGAGACTGTTCTGGCTTGTAGGCGTTGTACACTACGACTGCTCAAAGGCTTGGGGTCAGGACGAGGTTTCTTAAAGAAATCAATAGTTTTATTTCTGGTGTCAATCACAGATGTTGTCTTGTATTGCTTTATAACAACATATACGTAATAATGTAATATAAATTTAACAGTAAATCGAATGCACATTTTTAACAATATCTTACATTTAAACTAAGAAAATAAATAAACATCTACACAGTATTGACACAAGTAATCCAATCAACAGCATTGTTCACAGTCATAATAGACTTCAGGAATATGACAACTCTGCATAAATATACCAAGCATTTATGTATTGTGAGTTTCTCTGTGGATATGAAACCAGACTGCACATTATATTACATAATTCAACTGCCCACTGTCAATAATACCTTACTTCAGCTCTTTGAAATTACGCAATAAAAATTATTGCTGTTCTGTTATATTTTCTTTTATCATCCTCCTTGACTTCAGATTTAATCTTATGTGCTTTATGAAATCTATATGTGCATTGTGCAATATGACTAGACACAGAGCGGATGTTTTTACACATTTCTCTGCTGATTTTGAGGGAAAATCTGCAGAATGGTTTTAAACATTTAATTGAGATTAGTTTGTTGCCAAGATTACAACCATCTTAGAAGTAAAATATTATTATTATTTTAAATAAATAGCCTCTCCAGGAGTGGAAATCTCTAGATTGCTACAAATGACAGGCCTTTCAATTCTGTGGAAATCTATAGAGAAAATACAGAAAGTGGTGCAGATTGTATGCAGGTCTCAATTCTTTTACATTTGTCTGTATTTTTAGATATAGTATGTATAGATGTAAGTTTTTGTATTAATCAGGTTTGTGCAAAATTCAGAACTGAAGAATTGGTTCCAGTTTAGATTAAGTTCTTAGATTGATATTATTTGAATCAAAATGGGCATAAAACAAAGATCAGAGTTCGAATGCAGTGACATTCAACATAGAAAAGAAGTGTCTTTCCAGCCTCAGGTTATACACAACATTTCAAATAAATACAAATATTAGCATTTAAATCTGTTTGCCACCTCAATTCAAACTCAAGGAATTAAATATGAGGGAATTGAATGGGAATAGAAAAGACAAGCTCAGTTGGATTCTGCATGGCAGTGATGGCACATTAATATCTTTGAGGATAATGAATTAATATCTTTGAAGATATTAATGTGCCATCACTGCCATGCAGAATCCAACTGCGCCTGTACCTATACTGAGCCTGTACATATACTGTAACTATACTGAGCTTGTAACTATAGTACTTTTACCACTTTTTGATGGATAAATAACAACTAATTAAATTAAGTGCAGAAATCTCTGCAAAGACAAGTTTTTGTACACCTGCATGATCCACAGGTCTGTATGAGTGCATAAATATGAGCAAATGAAGGCATCATTTATATCATAAATCATAAATACAGTAGGGCATTATGATAAAGAGGTCCTCTTGTGCTTTTTCTCGTTCATCTTTCTTTAGTGTGTGTAATGCTGCTGTTTGAACATGAAAAAACTCTGAGTTATTCTCTATATCAGTGTCAGTGTTTCTGAACTCCTGAAACGCCTCCATAGTAGATTGAGTTTCTTCCGGGAACGAACAGTCACAATATTCCTCATTATAATAATTAATACGCAGAATAAAGGGGCGGGGCCTGGTTGAGTTAGTCAGTGGTGTGTTAAACTGGTGGTTATGGTAAGGGGCGGGACATTTCCCAAACACACTCGAAGCACTCGACCAATCACAACACACTGCTCCAGCCGACCAATCAGAGCACAGTGTGCTTTCAGAAGGAGGGGCTTCATAGAGACAGGAAGTAAACAGAGTGTTACTGACAGACTGGGAAGAGAGGAGCCGCAACAATGGAGAATATGAGGAGAATAATCAACATTCAAGCAGGAAAACCTGTTCTAGTAGAGCCTGAAACAACATCAACACTTAAAGGGCATAATAGGTCCTCTTTAATGTTGCAAAAAGCTTGTCATTACAAGTTGTCCATTGTACTCTTAATTTTGGCTCTTGTTTTGGAGCGCGTGTTGACCTCTGAAGTGGATGGTGTCGGGGATGCGGCAGAATGCAGCTCGAATGGGGGATCTTCCTCTTTTACGGTCTCGTCCTCGCACTCGTCGTCCATCTCCATCTGATGTTTTGTGCAGTGTTTCTCAAAGGTGGACATCTTCACGAATATTTTGTTGCACACCTTGCAGTGGAAGAGCTGCTCTCCGCTGTGTAAGTGCAGGTTGAGCTGCAGATAAGAGGACTGAGCGAAGGTCCCGGAGCAAACGCCACAGCAGAGCGTCCCGCTGCCCTGGTGGCTCTTCTCGTGCTGCTTCAACATGGACACGGACCGGAAGCCCTTCTGACACGTGGCGCACACGAACCGTCCCTCGCCCAGCTCCAGGGCCTGATGGTTGAGCAGGTGAGCGGACGTGCGGAAGGCCTTCCCACACTTGTCACACTTGAAAGGGCGCTCGCCCGTGTGCAAGCGAAGGTGGATAACAAGCCCAGCCTTTTGTGTGAACGCCCTGTCGCACTGTGTGCATTTGAAGGGCTTCTCGCCGGTGTGGAGCCTGCGATGGGTCTTCAGGTGCGAGGCGCGGCCAAAGCTCTTGTTGCAGTCGGGGCACTTGAAGGGTTTCTCGCCGGTGTGGATGGTCTTGTGGCGCAGAAGTTGGGACGACTGCATGAACATTTTGGAGCACACGCTGCATTTGTACTTCCTCTCTCCGGAGTGCGAGCGCATGTGCAGAGACAGGTGGGACGAAGAGATGAAGGTCTTGGAGCAAAGCCGGCAGGTGTGAGGCTTCTCCCCGGCGTGGCTGCGTTTATGCAGGACCAGGCGAGAAGAAAGAGAGAAAGATTTGTCACAGAAGGGGCATTTGTAGGGCTTGTCTTCTGTGTGCATTCGCTTGTGTTTGGTGAGCATGGAGATCTGGGTAAAAGATTTGTCACACAGGCCACAAGGGTGAGCTCGAGGCTTGGACGAGTGGGACATGATGAATGATTCAAAAGTCCATCACACCTAATGACAAAAACATCGCATGAGTTGACAATACAGTGAGTTCAACATGTATTACAGGTGTAATTGAGAGTCAGCATCCATTGGCGGTCTAAATGTCATAGAATTGTCAAAAGTACCGACTTCGGTACCAAGTCGGTACTAACATTTTAAAAATGTGACAATACCAGCATTTCCCTCTAGCATTTTGAGCGCTGTTGAACGGATTCTTAAACACCTCTGATTGGCCACTCAATGTATGTCTGTGATTGGCTACAATGATCAACGCTTCAAAAACATGTTGTCTTTGACGCTTACACAGATACACACGGGAGCATTTGAAAGCTGCGTCTATCATACATTGGGGATCATCTGCTAGACGCCTGCTTTTAAACGCTCCTGTGTGCATCTGTGAAGAGCGTCAAAGATGTTATTGTTAATAATCGTAGCCAATCAGAGACATATATGTCGAGCGTGTGAATGCAATGGCCAATCAGAGGCGTTTAAGGATCCGTTCAACAGTGCTCAAAATGCTAGAGGGAAATGCTGGTATCGTCACATTTTTAAAATTCAGTACCAAGAAGTCATTACTTTTGGACAACACTATAAAAACGATTTTTATAGATGATGCAACATCATTTGTTTCTGCCAAAAGAGAAAACAAATATCCTCTTCCTGCTTAACTAATAATAACAGTGGAATGATTCAGTTAACAGGGAACGTTCTCAGAACTGTAGTTAATGTTGTGGCAAGGTTCTCTCAAAGTTATGAACAAACGTTCTTCCAATAATGTTAATAGAATGTTTGTTTAAAGTTATCTGGTCTTTAATAATGTAAAACATTATTTATACCTCATTCATGGAACGTTTCCTCTGAAAGGTTTTGGTTGGACGTTTGTCTAACATTTTTGTTTCGGGACGTTCAGAGAACATTTAAAAGTAACGCTGCTTGCTAAACGATGAAATGTAATGTTCTCTTAATGTTCGCATAACCAAGAAAAAACATTTAAAAAACTGGATGTTTTGAACGTTCAGAGAAAACGAATAAAGAAAGTTTTCATAACTTAATGGGAATGTTAGCAAAACGTTCCTAGGACATATTTTTGTTAGCTGGTGGATATAAATCTTTCCAACAATCAGCTTGTGGTAAATGTAAGGTTTGGTACAATGCATCATGATTGCATTTTGCAAATATGTAATCATGTAGGGCCTAGCAGATGCTTAACCAGTGGCTGAATTTTATGAAGGGCTCTTAAAAGTGTGACATATTTCTCCGTATCTGCTTCCTTTGACGTCATAGCTGTTTGTTGCCAATGGCAGCAGTTATACATTATTATATATAGGCCTATTACATAGACTTTCTGATTTAAAATTTAGCCAAAACACTGAATAACTCAAAATTATTAAATGACTTAATAAAGGAGGGGAGAATTCATTTACTCTAGCCTAGATGAGGATCTCCATTCATTTAAATGTTTGAAAAATATGTTTGAAACTTGGAAAGATAATAATGCATTTATGTGTGTGTTTTATAGAACTACCATATAATTATAATGCCCTTTAAAACATATGATAGTTTTATATGGTTGGGGACAGCAGGTTTGAGCATTATATACACATTTCCTTCCTGGAACACCCTCGAGCACCGCGACTGTCTTCACACATCACACACATGATGCAGCAAACAACTGAAGCTGAGTATTCGCTGATAACTGAAGTCCGTATGCCCAGCAGTGATGATGTTTTCCACACAAAAGACAACCAAACATGACTTGCGCCAGGGGAAACATTTCTCAAGGGCTGAAATAGGTCCTCATTTCACCCTGTTCGTGATTACGCAACATCCAAGAATGCAAAAACGCAGACTCACCCTTTACACCACAGTTTCCACACAGAACATCCTCACACACCGAACTGAAGCTTTACAGAGGATTTCGTTGTATTATTCAGTGCACATGAGTCGGATTCTGGTTATGGTTAGATAAGCTAATTCACCACAGATGAACGGACATGGATGTAGAATATGGCGCCATGAAATACACGTCAGCATTTGCAGGTTTTGGCGAAAATCACACGAGCTGACGGCGATATTATCACTGGTAGATGAAATACACTGTAGGCTAAACAAAGGGAAATCAGTTTCTCTCTTTAGTGGTGGAAGCCATACAGAAAGCAGCCTCACTGCCATGCTATCAAAATAAAAGTAGCCTAATTATTTACAATTATATTTAATGTCGTTAAATCCCCTAGAGTTAATACAGATTCCAGGATGTTACATTTATTACAAGTTTTTTTTTTTTTTGCAAGGTAGGCTAACTCATAATACATTAAAAAGGGATCTCCTTCTAACATAAAAAGCTTCCAAAATCCTTTTTTTCTGCTCCTTTCTATTCAGTCATAGGTGTAATTTCCTCGAAAGTATCGGTTTTACTACAAACAAATAATTAACACAAAAACCGGTTATGGTTTTTAAACCATCGTAACCACAAACTAGCATGGTTTTACTAAAAAAAACACGGTTATGTTTGTTAAACCATGGACCACAATAAATGGTTTTCAAGCATCCTGTTTTTTGGTTTGCAACAGGTGGCCTACTTTAAGTGTCTGGTTTAGTTAAAAACGGAGCTATTTTAGTGAAAACTGGTTTAGGCTTTTTTGACAACTCATTCATTGTGAAGGAGGAGTGTAGGCTAAGTTTCGTTTCACGAAACAGGAACCGTTCTAGAGAACAGAAACCTAGAGAACCAGTGATTGGCTTTATCATTATCATTGTGAAACCTAGAGAAAGCTCGCGCTGGTTTTATCAGACTCACTCTGATCTCTGCATTCACTCTGCATCAGGACCACTGAAGGTAGGAGATAACCACATGTAGGAGTTTACAAGTTTTTAAATTTAACTAATATAATGTAATACTATAATGTAATAGGCAATAATATAACTCAACAATATAACATAACTTATATGTATTTTTTATTTTAAAAGTACAAAAGAGGGATCATAAAAATGGAATTTTTTTTAATCACAAGTATGAATAGGCTATTTTTACACAGCAGATTTGTATATATAGTCCACAATTGTTCATATTTTGTCTTCCGGAAAACATTACAAACCATCTTTAAATGCTTTTAGTTACCTACCAGTTGTCGAGGTTCAAGTGCTTTAAGACCTTTAAATACATTTAGCAATCATGTAAGCACATTAATCAGAGATTATAATCAACATTTTCAGCAATTTCAGGTAGGCTAATTTACCACCGAAAATTTATGATTTGTACTACACTGGTTTTTCAGAGAAAAACTGTTTTAAAATGTAAAATTTTGATTGAAACCACTGGTTCTTGAGGCAAAGTTGACATGATTTGAACATTGAATGTGTGTATGCAAGGAGAGAGAGAGAGAAAGATCGAGATCGAGATAAAGCTCTACCCATTGGCTTTGCAGTTAGTAGCCTCTGTGTGTCTGTGACACAAGCCTTCTTGAGCATCAGTGAATGTTTACAGCTTTTGTAATAGTTGTATATGACCATCACATAACATTAAACCAGTCGTAGATCAACCAACAACACAGTATAAGATTCAAGTGTGCAGAATGTAAACTTCTGAGCTGGTTCAGTTGTGTAAATTTAGTAATTATTTTCTCTTGTGGACTATATGGAAAAATCAGTTGTGCTGTTTAGCTTATTCAGGGCAGTACAGAATAAAGAAAAAAAGAAGGCAATTTTTATGATGATCCTCTCATTTTTTTCAAAGATTAACATCTAGCAGATTCTGCGAGGTGTATGCAATCTTATACGTTATACTTTTATTGAGATTACATTTACAGTATTGTTACCGTTTTCATGGAATAACTGTTCAAAAAGTTGTCTTCTTTTAAGAATTTGGAGAAATTGGAAGTTAATTATTGTTTTTTTTAAACAGTTCAATATTTTTAACCACACAGGAGAATGTAAGAGAAGAACAATGAGTTCAGCATCGAAGCAAAAGAGGAAAAAGTATGTGGTTTTATTCACTGCATGTTTTTGTAACGATTATGTCCAGTTTGGTTCCTGTTTGCCTGTGTTCCCCTTTGCTAGTTTGTCTCCATGTTTTTTGATTGAGTTCACATGTGTTCCTGGTTATGTTAATTATCCATGTATGCATTTGAAGTCCCACTGAGTGCCTTGAAACGTGCAGCATTATTCAATGTGTTGATGTAACATCCACTGAAACAGGAAGAAAGGCCGGGGCATATCTATCAGCTCCTCTCATTTTTTAAAGCCTCAGTTTCCCCCTATTCTCTAACGGTTTCTCCCGCTAATCTCCTCCGAATCGCTGACTAACTAACACTAACATGAAACCAGACTTCATTCGCCCCAATGGAAAGCATATGAACACGGTCTGAATCGTTCTTTATCCCCTATATAATAGACTAGCTGCAGCTTCAGAGTCTATTCATAATGTAGGGGGGCGGAGCTTCGGATTCTAGAGAGCATTTGATTGGACAGAAAATCTGATGCAGCTGAAGTGCAGAGTGATGTCATCAAAATCATTGATCCCTTGGCAGCAGTGAGAGACTACAAGTTTTGAATGCTTATATCTTTTAAATGCAAATTGCACAAAAATACTACTAATTGCTGATTAACAAGGACATATTAGTCATTGAAGGATAAATGCCATAAAAAGCTCAAATAAACTAGTAATTATGTATTATCCTGAATGTACAGTAAACACATTTTTAAGCTGTTATGTACAACTTAGTAAACCATCTATTATTTTTGTGCAGTATAATGTACTTAGTTATATTTCAGTGATTCACCATCTATTAAGTTAACTGAACACTATGAAGCTAGTAACTATATTTAATTAGTGCTTTTTTTTTACAGTTATAAATTACTAAAATAAATGAAGACAATTTGACCCCCATTCTAAAGTGTACAGTAAGGACACCATATTCATACTAAAAGCCCCCCCCCCCCCCCCCCCCCCCCCATTATTATCTCCATCTTCATGTGTGCATTACAGCCGCATTATGACAGTTTTATGCGTAATCCCGTAACTAATATGGTGGAGTGTTAAAGTACACTGAGAGTCATCAGATCAAGCATGTTTATGAAAAAATAATAATATGTTTTACAAATAATCTCAAGCATACTAACAATTTATTTATTAAGCTGATTTTGTATTTAGTCTATTACTGTCAAAATGATGAAGAAGATTTTTAATAATTAAGTAAACTCGGGTACAGAAAGGAAAGTGACAGTAAAAGTGTGTGTGTGCAACAAACAGTAACCGACTGAAGAGTGAAACAGAACAACTTAAATACACACTGATGATGAGATGATAATAAACAGGTGAGATGATTAGATGAGTGTCCATGACAACCGATAACTGGCGGGAAACTGAGACAAAGAAACAAATGTGACTGATGAAAACAAACTAAAAGTCCAGGAAAACAGAAACTAAGAACAAACAAAACTGAATAGACGTGACAATTACATGCACCTTGAATTTGCTCTGTATGTGTTTTGTGCAGTTTTTGATAAACTTTACATTGTTCAATGCAGAAATAAATTTGGTGCGACGTCTCCACCATTCATTGATTACCTAAAAGAAATTTTGAGAAGGTACCCAGATGGAGGACAAATATTGAAGGTAGGCTAAAAAAAAGGTTTAAAAATTGCATGAATACTTTTGCATCATTGTTAAATGGTATGTATTATTAAATATCTTATAATTTCTGCTTTTAATATTAATCCTGTAACATACCAGGAGCTGATCCAGAATGCAGATGATGCAGGAGCTTCACGTGTGGTGTTTATTCATGATGAGAGGCATTATGGGACTCAGAGCCTGTGGACTGAAGAGCTCGGGAAGTATCAAGGTATTTGTGTTGTAAACACTGGAAGCAGATTTAAATCACACTAGACTTAAGATTTCAAAATTAGTCTAAGGTTTAACATTTGTCCTCATTCATGTCACAACCATGAAGAGTTTTGCAACTATACCTTCTGCCCTTTTTTTAATGGGAAGCGAGTTTTGAGTTCTGAAATTTACAGTATGTTTTTATATTAAATCCAACTTTTTGGCAGCGGCTATTTGCACTTCTTGGGCCCTATCTTGCACCCGGCGCAAATTACTTTGTACACCGACGCATGTATCATTCCTATTTTGCACCCGCGCAAAGCGGGCTTTTCCCTCCACAGACGCACGCCGGCAAACTAGGAAATGAACTTGCGCTCCCTGGGCGGTTCAGCGCAAAAAGGAGGCGTGTTTCGGCGCAAACATTCCCTAGTGCTATTTTGCAGTTCCAGGAAACAATGGCGCCACTGACCAGAAAAAACCTAGTCTAAAGTCAGTGGCACGTTGCGCGTACATTCAGATGCTATTTTAAGCGTGCATGCTTGGCCATAATACAGAGTGTGAACAACGCGCATACACTGTAGATGATTCTCTCATCTACAGGTCCTTCTCAAAAAATTAGCATATTGTGATAAAGTTCATTATTTTCCATAATATAATGATAAAAATTAAACTTTCATATATTTTAGATTCATTGCACACCAACTGAAATATTTCAGGTCTTTTATTGTTTTAATACTGATGATTTTGGCATACAGCTCATGAAAACCCAAAATTCCTATCTAAAAAAATTAGCATATCATGAAAAGGGTCTCTAAACGAGCTATTAACCTAATCATCTGAATCAACTAATTAACACTAAACACCTGCAAAAGATTCCTGAGGCTTTTAAAAACTCCCAGCCTGTTTCATTACTCAAAACCGCAATCATGGGTAAGACTGCCGACCCGACTGCTGTCCAGAAGGCCATCATTGACACCCTCAAGCAAGAGGGTAAGACACAGAAAGACATTTCTGAACAAATAGGCTGTTCCCAGAGTGCTGTATCAAGGCACCTCAGTGGGAAGTCTGTGGGAAGGAAAAAGTGTGGC